CTTCTAGTGGACACTACATTACAGAGACCCCAGGAATTTATATTCACTCCTGCAGTACCCAATCAACGGATCTGTCAGTCAAGTGTAAGGTCACCACTAAATAATGCTAACTACTGTCATCAGACAAGATCATGTCAAAATAGCACTGAAGACATTATGGTTTTACAATTACATGTCATTATCTGATATATCAAAACATGCAGTTTGTGCAGGTATTTCAGTAACATTGAAAATAAATGATAATCACCTGCTTTCTTTGCTCCAAACCACTCCGTACACAGTGTAAAACACATAGCAAAGGGAGGGCTCAGTTAGTGTGAATGCTTCACAATGCACTGTCTCTAGCAGACAGCAGCATCTTCATTTTGCTTTTCTTGGCATTACAAAAGTAGAAATAGGTATTCTATAGGTCCACCATCAGTTTTACAATATTGCAGCCATGAGTCCAAAGAAAACAAGTCATCCTTGTGGGATTACACCTTGAGGCCACTCAAAGTAAAGCTTTTATTCAGGTGTTGCAAAGTTATTGAAATGGCTGGAATATTCAATAGCCACAACCAAAGTACTATAAAAGCACATCCCAGAGGTTTTAGTAGCAGTCAAAATATGCTTGGTATAGAAATCCATGTTTATTTCGAGAAAAATCAGCAAGTCCTATTTCACAATATAAACTTGCTTACAGAGTTCTGGTGGCTGATGTAGCTCAGACTTGACTGCCAATTGGTAATTTGCCAGTGCAATGTTAAATGGGATTAGGGTGTCATTTATGTTGTGAGCATTACAAAAACATCCCATAAAAATAAGCGAACCAACTATTTTCTCTCCTAGTATGCACGACAGTGAACGTTATGAACAAGAAGCCTGAAACAGAGGAGTTCAACTTTTTGACTGAAGTTTTTTAACAACTTTCAAGTATTATGGTCCCTATATACACACTCCTACATGGCTAAAAAAAGACGTGACAGACAATTGAGCACACTGCCATCAAATCGTAAGAATTACAAAACTGTTAGGTTTTAAACAGCAAATTGTACCTTAATCATTTAATTAAAAATAGAAGAATTAGGTAGACTATTTTGCAAACAAACCAGCACACTAGTGTGCTATATATTAAGGCATACCTTTAAATGCGCACCTGTCATCTCTAACAAGTTTTATACAATTGCTACTAAGTGAGAGGACTATCATTGTCTTGCAAAACTGAGAAAGAAATACAAAATATCTGGAAGCCTACATTTCCAAAGTACAAAATTAACCTTCAGTCCTTGTGTTGAAATATCATACACAGTACAAACGGAGAAGCTCCCTACAAGATCTCACGAGGATTTCTTAAAGCTGGAGGTAAATTTGAAGGTTTTGATTCTTCATCCAGAAGTACCAAATCTTCAATTTCACTACCTTTGTATTTTCTTTTACAGATCTTCACAATAACTCTTTTCTTGAGGAACAGCTTCAAAGCTTCTCTTGAAGCAACCGCTTTGGCATTTTCCATACTTTTACCACAGCCAGTACCCAAGTAGACAGACTTGCACCTCAGTTCACAAACTATGTTTTCCAGAGAGCTTTTATTTTGAGGCAAGTCTGCAAGTTCCTTCAGGGGAACAAAAGCAACGTCTAAAGTAGCTTTTACAGACTGAATAGATGAGTTTAGAAGTTCCACGTGATTTACGTTGGGACTGAAGCCTCCAACAGCAACCAGTTTCCAGGCTACAGCTTTGTACAGTCTGTTGAAAAAAGGTTGTCTTTCCTTCACATCCTCACTGGTCAATGGTTTGCGCAAAGCCTTAGCAAGGCTTTCGCCTGCCTGCGAGCCACTCTTGGAGGCAAGCTGTGGGGAACCGGTCTGTGTGCCACCCTTAGAAGCCAGCAGGGAAGCGCCTGCCTGAGCTCCACCCCGGGAGGCCAGTGACGAGGGACCCTGCTGAGCCCCGCTCCGAGCAGCCAGCAGTGAAGCAGCCACCTGAGCGCTGCTCTTGGAAGTCAGCAGTGAAGATCCCTGCTGAGAGCCACTCCGAGCGGCCAGCAACGAGGCAGCCACTTCGGCACTGCTCTTGGAGGCCAGGAGCGAAGAGCCTACCTTTGTGCCCTTGGAGGCCAGCAGCAGTGAGGTGCCTACCTGAGTGCCACTCTTGGGGGCCAGCAGCAGCGAGGTGCCCACCTGAGTGCTGCTCTTGGACACTGATGTTGCAGTGCTTGCTTGAGTTTTGGAAGACAGCAATGTAGCACTTGTTTGTGAGGTGGTCTTGGCAGCCAGTGGCACTACTGCTGTGACCTGTGGGGTGCTCTTGGTGGTCAGTGGCACCGCTGCTGCCTGTGGGGTGCTCTTGGCAGCTGGGAGCACTGCTGCTGGCACCGCTGCTGCCTGCGGGGTGCTACTGGCAGCTGCTGGCACGGCTGCCAGCACCACCTCTGCTTGCAGCGTGTTCTTGGCAGGCGGTGGCACCACTGCTGGCACCGCCTCTGCCTGCGGGGAGCCCTTGGCAGACGCTGGCACTACACTTACTGGAGTTTGCTTTTCAGGCAATGGCACATCTTCACACTTGTTTTCCTTAGGCGGATTTGAGCAAGGCTTCTCTCCTGACTCTTTTTCCGATGAAGGTGGGCTTTGCTCAGTAGTATTTTCAGCATTAGCAGGTTTTTCTTCTGTTTTTACATCTGATGCTGTGACTGTTTCTTTATTTGAACTGCAAGTTGACTGGGAGATTTCTGGATCTTTGCTAGTATCTTTTTCCCGCTCTTTAGGCAGTGTGCTCTCTGTTTCTTTCGGGGATTCTGCCTTGGTTGTTTTCACATCCTTTCCAGTATCCTCAGAATCTCTGCTTTTCTCAACAGCTCGCTTCTTGGAGGGAAGCTCTATCCCTTCTGCAAAACAAGTAAAGTACGTTACGCTCTTCCATTTCTGCACTATAAGACATCTAGAGACAATTTATCTATTTTCTAAAAACTTGTAGGAATAATCTTTGTGAATTTAAAATGTATCTATCACAAATAAACTCTGAACTGCGTTTTCAAGTTTTAACCTAATATTTCAGAATATTTTAGCGTTAAAAAACAAAACCAAAAAAACAAAGCCAAAAAAACAAGTCAGGTGCAAGATTCCATGTTTTGTTTTGGGACTGGCAGGCAAGTATGTATTTCTGTTCTTAAAGTCCAAACCAAAAAAATGATCAAAGTACATTAAACAAACTATCTAACCTAAACAACAACAGGTATTTTGCATACTAATATAACAAACATCTTTAGAATAGCTTTACTTTAAAATGCACTTTAAGAATTTCCTTAAGAAACTAGTTTTGGGCAAAGCTGCGATGTCCTACTAGTGCTAAAGGCAAAGTAACACGAATGTATTTAAGCCAGTGTACAACAGTCTAGATGGCATTACGGGAATAATCAGCTTAAAGCATACCAGTATAGAGAAATTCAAACCAAGAGCTCTCTGTGCCTAAAGGGATATAAATGCATTACATCTATTTTACATACAGGTACTGTATGAAGCAAAAACAGCACAGAGAGGAGCGCAACTATTAACGAGGACCTTAAACAGTAAATTATTACGACTTCTCTCTAGGCCCGAGGTAAACCGAGAACATTCAAAAACAAGCATTTTCTATACTCCTATGTATTGTCACAGCTATGATCTGCTAACCATTGCTACTTGATATGCCTCTTTTCTTCACCTTGGCAACCAGTTCATCTCTCGTGGTGCGGACAGGCGCGCCGGTCACTTGGATGCCTTCGGCCATTTCCAGCGCCTTCTCCATGACCTGCGGCGGGTACCTAGAAGGGCGACAAGGGGAAAGGAGAAGAAGGGAGAGGTGAAGCGCGGCCGCCTCCCGCCCTGCCCCGCCCGCGGGGCCCGCCGCCCGGCCGCACTCACCGGCAGCCCAGGAAGACGTGGTTGGCCCACACCATGGAGAGGGACACCAGGCGCTGGATCTGGGCGCTGCCCGCCGCCGGCAGCTCCCCGACGTTGCGCAGCAGGAACTCGCGGCGGTGCCGCCAGTGGTGCTCGGGCTCGCAGGCCCCGCGCAACGCCTCGGCCCAGGCCACCTCCTCCGCCGTCCGCCCTAGCGGCTCGGCCGCGGCCTTCACCGCCGCCATGGCCGCCGGGCTCCGCGCGCGGAGGCCTTCCTCGGCCCCCCCGGCCCGCAGCGGGAACCGCCTCCCCGCTCCTTCCGGCCGCGCGGGATGACCTCAGAGCCGGCGCTCGCTGCGCTCTTCCCTCTTCCCCCCTTCCCCGCCGGCCCAGGTTGCTCTGCGGCGCACGGAGGGGCGGGGACGCCAACGGTCATGGGGTGGACCGGGCGCGTGGGAGGGGTATCGGTACCTCACGGGCGGCGGGGCGGGGCCGGGCCGCTCGCCGTGTTGGTGTGACGGGGAGCGCGCCGCGCCTGGTGCGCCGCTGCGGGCGTCTGGGGCGGCCTGCACTGCACTGGGCTGGGCCGGGCAGTACCGGGCCCGGACCCGGACCCGGACCCGGAGGTTTTTCACGGTGTGGCTACCAAAGAAATTGTTGCGTTCAGGCTCGTACTTGGAGGAGTGGAAGCTTTCAGTGGAGCTGCTCACCCGCCGTGCCCGGCCCTTGAGCCTGCGACACGCTGCTTGTTCCCCCATCCTTTCCTCAGAGTTTGGGAAAAAGAGGTGGTACGGGCAGAGTTACCTGCCCTGTATTCTGCCTGGGCACAGCATGGGAGAAAGTTCTGCTTACAGACTCATTCAAGCCTTGTCGAGGTCGGACTTCATGGGAACAATTCGTGGTTTTGCCTCCTTGGCGTGTGAGGAGAAGGTAGTGGCAAGGAAGGAAATGGGTTGTGGTAGTGTACTGGAGGAAACATTAAATGAGGGGTTCTGCGGGCTGCAGGCTACAAGGTGTTCAGATCATTGCTCATGCCACTCTGCCCTCGCGTTGCAAAACTTACCCCAGGATTTGATTCAAAACCACGTGAAGAATTCTGTGTGGAAAAGCAATGAGCACGCTGTGAAATTACCACAATCTGCCGACAGTGCTCACTTAGTGCAGCAGAGGAGAGCTCCGAGTTCCAAAGGGCTGTCCCAGGAGAGCTGTAAGATTTCCTCCCTCACCACCCAAATTAGAAGTCTGTGTTTCCTGAAGTTTTGGGTTTTTAATACCCACATGCCATTGTGGAGTGAACTGTAACGTTGATTGCATTTAAGGAATGAGTGTTTTTCCTTAAGTGACTTTAATGTCTTACTCCGTGGAAATTGCTATGCAGTGGTTTAACTTGTACCTTTATGGTGCAAAACTGAGTAAGGAAACTAAGCCAGAAAAAAGGAGTCCAACGTACTTTTGTTCTGTATCTGTTGTTAGAGTGGAAGTGTTTTTCCTTCGCTTTCTTGGTGAGCCCACAAGATGTTAGCTTGTGTGTTGGCAAGAATAACCCAGTGACAGAGCAGAAGCGAACATTAATGAGTGGGATGGGCCCAACAGACACAATATTGTTTTGTGTTAGCATGTAGAGGAAGAAGAGGGCAGAAAGTTTGTATACTCTGTGGTGTATGAGTCTTGGGTTTATTTAGAAACAGTGTCAGCAGGTTTAGAAGCACTGTGCTCACCACCAGTGTAGTGTTGCCCATCTGTTTCCAGGCATTAGTCGTATCAGTCCTGCATGTGACTATTTGGTAGTGTAGGCTCAAATATATAAAAGGCATGGTCTGTCACTCTAGGCTGTCCATTTAGAAACAAGGTGGGCCTGTCTTGTAGACCTCTGGCTCTGTGATAGATCTTGACCTTCTTCACAGACCTCTGGCTCTGTGAAGATTCTTGGCTTCACAGTCAGTACAGACCCTGGAAGCAAAGGGTGAAGGGAATCCCTGGCAAACAACTGATTTGAGTTTGTGCTGAAGCTGAGGTTACCCATGCTGCCAGCCTGTTCAGTGAACCAGCTTGCTTTCTAGCAGAGCCAGCTGGGACTTGGCTGAGGCTTGAGATGTACTTCTCATACAGGCCTGAGTAGCTGTATCAGGACTGTCTGTACTCTTACAGAGGTATCAGAGCAAACAATACAGCTGTGAATGCCCTGTCCCCTTGACAACCATCAAGTTGAGCTGTCAAGTGAAGTGACGACTAGTCTGTGTCAAGGTGCTTTTATATACCTGGTAAGAGCTGGAAAGGCTTAGAGTCTAGAAGGTGGTAAGGGCATCCTGTGTACTAAGAGGGACTCCTGAAAGCTATATTTTGGTGCTGCTGGCTGAATGACAGCTCCTGATTTCAAACGTCCAAGGCAGACCTCCACATCTTAGAGGTTTGCATCTGCTTTCAGTCACCCCATGTGCATAAGGTTATATGGACTCACCTGTGAGTCCTTGCCTCCTCCAAAAGTATCGTTCTAGGGAGTGCTGGAGACTCAGCACAGCTTCAGAGCCTAGTACATTATCTGGTCTTAGAGTGGCTCAAGTACTGATTAGAACGACTTTTTTTTTTTTCCCAGTTTTAGAGGGCAAATTAACCAAAAGCCATTTCACTTCTTTGCCCCCTGACCACACATCTGAACACAAATGTAGGTGACTGTGGAGAAAAGTCAGAGGGCAGTCCTGCACATTTCTGGAATAGCTCACAACAGGGTTTGGCTATGGTGAGCAATTTCTATGGTCTGGCACCTTACTGCTGTTATTTTTGGGTTATTTTTCTCTAATGCTCCTTCAGTATCAACGTAGCCTTGTTGTTGGTACAAAGACGACTTAAGCCAAAGTTTAGCCTTTTGGCTTTCCTTCCTGTCTTTTTCCAGACATACTCTTTGTACTTTATTACTGTCTGCTTGAATCATTCTGGAGACAGGCTAAATCCTGGCCCCGGAGCATGGGATATGTCGCACATGTGCACACACAGACAAGCATAGCTGTATACCTGCGATGCTTTCTGAGCACGATGGACCAACTGTGCCTCGGGTTGATTAAACAAGTGTGTGTAGTAGAAAAGGGAGAAAAACACTGCTGTTAATTTTAAAAAAGGAAACAAGTAGCATTTTCATTCTCACCCAGAAAGGCAATTTTGAAGTTAAATACCTCATTGATGGTGCTAATACTGAGCATTTAATTTTCAACTCTGGAAGAAAACAGTTTTATTCCCACTAGGGAAGGAACTTCTAAATGCCACGTTGATAGTAGTGTTGTTGGAGTCATTTGGGGCTTCATAGTAGTTTATTTTGGCAAGATAAAAGTAAAATCTCGAGGTGAATCATGTTGGTGTCTATAATCACAGCATTGCACCTGCACTTCCTATATAATAAAGTTTATTTCTGCCTTTGTGAACCAATGAATTATTATTTTGTCAAAGCCAAGTCCGTCTGAAACGCAGAGGGCAGTAGCCCCATTGAGTTCAATTAAGTTCTGTGCAGTGAAGGTTAATATATAGTGATGCTCTTTACTCAGCTTAATATGAGAAGAGTGCCCTTACCATCACAGCAATGCAAACAGAAAGCTCCGAGTTACTGCCACAGAAAGGAAATTACAGTGGGATCTTACTGGCCTGGCACAATAAATCTTCTGAGCACCTTCTGTAGGTTGGTCCCTGCTGTAAGTAATAAGTAAACACTTGGGAGATCTGGTTTACATTCATTAGAATGCATCTTGAAGAAGGATCGGGAAGAGCAGCTTGTTGAAGGTCCCCTAGCTAGGCAGGGGACAGCACTTCAAGGGAGACGTGTGCATGTGCCGAGGTAGCGAGTCCTTACTGTTCAGTAATCCTTGGAATAAAAGACTTGCTAAAGGAGTATTAATGGCTACGTAGGCTTGTCAGTGGAAGGGCAGTAGAGTATATCTGTGTTTTTATTTCACTGCAGTTACACAGCTGTTGTTACACTACTGTAAGCAGCTCTGGATTACACAATCATCCACACTTCTGAGATTTCTCATCTAGTGAAAATGTACTGTGTAATCGCAGTAGACAAAACTGAAGGTGAAATGAAGATCTTAGTTGATAATAATTTTCCTTTACTCTTACGTGCTTTTATTGTTAGCTTAAATACTATTCTGCATTTATTAGTATGTTATACTTGAAAGATATAACTGCATACCATAGGGTTGTCAATTGTTTTCTTTTAAATGAGTTTGTTAAGCTTTAACTTAACCTTTAAGAGCTAAAGGTAGCATACCATAAATCTTGTTTGTTAAACTATGCTTTAGGTAGCATACCACTAAACATCCATGACTTGGTGTGAAATTTTCCATGCCAAGGATGGAGGATTAGGATGACTTAACTGCTACCGAACGTGATCTAAGAACAGAGGTGGGGAAAAAAGGGCTTTGTCTAGAATAAAATATTGTGGAGATCTTATTTTTGAAGTGCTTTAATGTGTTTATGCTCTAGAGCAGTCTTGGAATTTGTCATGAAAAACTGAATTGGGAGGGGAGCGTCTGATCTTCTGACTACATTTAGCATAACTGATAAGCCTTTGAAGAAATTAATTTTCCACATTCCTGACTTGGAAGGTCTCCCCACCACCCTTGCTACTGCTGCAGTGAAGTTTACTCTGGCTGTGGGCTGCAGAGTCCAGAAGAGACCTCTGTTGGCCACTATGGACTGGGGTGGGCCTCTGGATTGAGGGTGAGGCTGTGGAGACCATCCCTGTGCTCCCAAAAAGCTGCTTTCTCCTCTTCACAGGTGGTTGAGCATGTCTGATAGGAATGGTGAGGGAACAAGGACCTGACAGAGGGGAGAAAAGCAGTAAGTATGGAGGCAGACTCACACCTCCTCAGAGGTAGTGAGACTAAAAGTACTAGGGGGTGGAAAAGCTTAACATGAGAGTAGTATGGATAGGATACTGGGATCAGATGAGGAAGGAAATTAAATTCTCAAGGAGAAATGAAGGAAACGAGTTCAAGGCAAGGGCACAAATACATATAGAAGAGGAATTGGAATGGACTGTATGCCAGGAGCCTAGGACAAAGACAAATGAGAGAGGATAGATGTGGAAACTAGTGAGGAAAACAGAGCAGTGAAAGCACATTGATAGAGCAGACATAATCAGACAGAATCAAGTCCTGACTCTGAGCAAAGGGACAAGCTGTGATGGGAAGGGGGGCACTGACAGAGGAACCACTGGGATTTGAACAGAGAATTAGAGAAAGGAAAGTTAAAACTGTGAGCGCAGAGACATTAGCATTTCAATGTGGGTTTGGGTTTTGGGTTTTTTCCCCCATTGCAGTAGGCATCTGCTAGGGTAAGTAACACAATAAAATATTCTGCTTTTCTAATTTAGTATAAGATATTTTCTTGTCTTTTGTGTGTGTTGTAAAGGAACAAAAGAGGTAGAGATCCATTTATTTTCAGAAATCCTTCTTGAAAGCCACCTTTAAAGAGTTTTTTAGGTAGGAAGCCTTCTGCTTTTGGCAGGCGGCTTTACCCTGGAGTTGGAAAAGGCAAGAAAACAGCCTTAGGAATCTTAATGCAAATATTGGCATAAGTTCATTGTAATTCAAGAGGATTCAGGAAAGCACTAAAAGGGCAAGGAGGTCTTATCTGAAAAAAAGAATCTATTATGAAGCTGTAACATACTGAACATTTATTTGTGTGTGTGCATATATATGTGTGCAGCACATGAATGTCTACATATGCATATGTAATACAATATAGATATGTGTGAATATGTTTTAAAAATACATGTATTATTGAGAGTGTAAGCACCTATAAATCTAATGTTCCTGCTCTTGCAGTCAAACTATTCATGCCTTGGAGGAGAGGAAAAATTACAACTAATATTTTATTGGCTTGGGTTGTGGATGGGTGCATTACAGAAATGGATGCTATTAAATCTTCATACCATGCTGTACCAGTATGAATTTTGTATGTGCTACATATTTTGCAGACACAAATAACTATTTTAGAAATTATATAAGGAGCTTTCCTGAGACTCCAGGCAACAATGTCAGATTTAATTTGAATTATTGCTATTGAAAATCATGGTTCTATTTTTCATTATTGTTATACCAATATCCCTGACAACCTGCAATTTACCTGGTATGAGCAGCAGCTCCTGAAAATATAGAATTGTTTTGTGTGGTATTTTTGTATATCCCTTACTGAAATATTGTAGGCATGATATTTCATGTTAATTCCACTGGATGGCACTGAAGGAGACAAGATTGCATGGAAATACCTCCAGAACTTGAGTACAACTCCAAAAAGTGAGAATGCTTATTTTTTCATTCCATTACTGAAATAGACAAATGTGGACTCATTTTCCAGCTTGGTGTAATAATTTGTCATCAAAACCAGCTCGTAAATATTCCTACTTGTAGTACTTGTAGCAAAATTTCAGTGGGGGTAAGAGTCAAGGCTTCTGAATCTGAATGCTCCTGCTCCCCTCAAAAAGATAAAGGCTAAAAGGTGTGGCTTTGGCCCATTCTGGATTCCTGTGTGAAGTTTTACAGAGCATCCGAAAAATTTTTGGTCCCTGCCCTCTGTGGCATTGCTGTCAATACTGGCCACTTCTACCGTTATGTGGAAGTGCAAGTTTGCTAGCTTTTAAGCTCATTTGAAAAAACTCATTCAGAGTTAAAAGTTTCCACCTGTTGAAGAAATGTATAGTGTTTCAGAGAGTGTCCCAACTTGAAACTCCATCTGCCATCCCCACACAAGGACTCCTGTTTTTCCTGGGTAGGTACTTTGTGATCCTGCCTGGAAGGCACACAATTACTTTCTGTCAATCAGACCTATAACCTGGGAGTTGTCTTTGACTCCATTCTTTTTTGATTTGTTTATCATGATATATATGAATTTTGTTTCCTTCTCTAAAGTATCATCTTATCTCTGTCCTGATCACAGATATGCTTTTTAAGGCTTTTGTTATCTCTCATCCTGCTTACGACATCTTTTTTTCCCTACACCTGACCTGACCTGTCAAAAAGGTCTCTTGAACCACTATTTTTGCACTTATCTCCCCAGTCTATTTCTGTGCCTCCTTTTTGTATTTACCTCTTTAGTATATCTCCATAGATTTCCTTGTCTCTGCAAGCTCTCTAGCCCTATGAGAGTGCAGTTTGACAACTTTTTTGCAGCTCTGCTGGCCTAAGACAGTCTCTGCTCCCAGCCATCCATTCCTGTCCCTTTGATATGCCTGCTAGTTTGCTGGCACAGTTGTTTTATTCAGCCATGTGATAAACCAGATTAGGAACCTGATTTGGCTGAAAAGCAGCATGGGGGAGTGTGAAGAGGCACATTTTTCAACCAGCATATTTCTCCAATACAGTCTATCAGGCAGCACTTCTGGTGCAACTGCAGGGTTGGTTTGGGATAGAAATAAGTGGTGAGAGATGCAGGGTTGCAAAACAGAATGGCTTAGGCTGGTTTATGTAGCAGTGTTGCTACCTGTTGAGCTGGGACCTGATTTTGATGATAGAGCTAAGCCAAGCTAGTAGCTAGCTCTTGCCGAAAGTGTAATGCTGTGCCTCCTTCCTCACCCCTCATTGTGGCTTGGTTCCTGGTGCTTCCCTTGTGCCATCACTGGTGCTTGTCTCACCCAAGGGAGCCAGTTGTGGTAGCTAACCTGCCACAGAAGCATTCACCACTTCCAAGGGTTTATTGTGGCTGTTCTGCTGAATTCCTATGGAACCCACCCACTCAGCAGCAGCTGGATGCTCTGTCAGTTCAGCTGCATCGTCAATTGCACCGTGACACTGAACAACTTTGCCTTTTCCTGTCATCTGCTGTCCTCTCATCCTCCATATCTAATCCATCTGCTTTTCTTGTAGCTGTGTTAATTATGTCCTTTTGGGCACCCTCAACATATGGAATACCCTCCCTGAAGCAATTGCTGCATCCTTCAAATCCCTCAAGATTTCTTCTACCATGACACATAAACTGCCAGCTGATAATGCCCAGTTTAGTTGCTTGTAAGAAGTTTGGATTTCATTATTACAACTAGTGTGTCCACGTATTAGCTTGAAATGGGCATGCTTTATCAGTTCATTTGAGAAGCTAAAAGGGATTAAACTGCCACAGAAGCTCTGCTTTGGAAAATGAAAATTCCCAAAGCTATGCTCTGAAGGAGATATACTTCCCTAAGGTCATATATAAATACCAGAGGCTGATTTTCTGTTGCTTCACACCTTGGATCATCATTCATGCTTGTGCAAATGGACACAACATTGCTACTAAGCAGTTTACAGTAACATCTTACAGAATTGTAAATTAGTCCCCCAGGGACAAGATAGCAGAAAGTCAGCGCTTACATGAGCAGCTGAGCATAGAGACTTAGGGATTTCTTTTCATCTAGTTGTTTTCATTGTTTAGGTTCTTTTTAGACACATGTGGAAGCATATCCTAAACTTATTTTATCCTAATATTTTTGTATGCTAAGCATTTTTTTCATATTCAGTTTAATAGAAAATGTATAGAAAAAACAGTAGTGAGTAAAGATTTACATTGCCTTGGAAGCATTAAAACCAAATTATCTGTGTTTGCCATTTAAAAAGCCAAACAGGACAGAGGGCATCTCAACACCATGCAACAGAGCACACGACTTAACAGAGCATATACTCATCAAGGTACATGCAGAATAGGAAGCAGCAGCTGAATACTTGCATGTGAGTGCTGCTGCACCCAAAGTACTTAACCCTGTTGGTAGGTGGTGCTAATTAGTTTGAACATGATGCTAATTAGGTTAGCTACAGCACTGTGGTCATGTACATACACAGTGCCTGTGACACTAGCTCAGACCTGGCTGAAGGGTTCCACGCATATATTGCATTGAGCCATATGTGTGCATCCAGAGAGAGAAATTATTCATCCGTGGCCTCTTGTTCATTACCCCTGTAGGGTTTAACTGCAGTAACATTTGCATTTGCCACATACAGGTGTCGGATGTGGCCTTATGCCAGGAATTACCTCCCTCTTGGTAAAAACAGAGTATGTCCTTTTAAGTGTGTATTTCAGGCTGTGAGTTGTTGCTGTGGAAT